CAAAAATTTGCACTAGATTGGCAATAACTGATAATGAACCATTTTATTGGTCAAATGTCATGTGGTTACACGAAACCGGTATTTTCGTAGATCACAAAAATTTACCCAATCAAAACAAACTTCTATCATGCTAGTTGGGGTAGAGTGTAGTATATATCAAAATTTTGTGAGAAATTTTTTTTGTTAGAACTCAAAAAGCAGTTTCATAGATGGCATTATTTTGTTACACAAAATTAATTTGCATGTTACACCTGATCTTCAAATTTAATTGGTCAATTCTTAAAATGCGATGTATAAACGCCTAATTAAGTCCATAACTATATTGAGTATAACTATAATGAGATTCAACTGTATTTAACTAAAAATTCTACAGATTTTTATTTAACTAAAAATTTGAATTTTTTTTTATTTAATTCTACCGATCTGTAAAATTAAAAAAAAAGATTTTTCAATTAAATAGTTGTTGAAAAATTATTGTTAAAATTAAAAAACATTTGTTATTTCAAAACTTCTAGTGAAAATTTCTTAATAAATACTAAACCAAATTCAATGAATTTTTTATTTTTATTCTACAAATATATAGAATTAAATAAATAAAAAAATTACTAAATTAATCATATTGTTGTTAAGAAGCCTTTGCAAGAATTTTAAAATTTTAAATCAAATCTTGGTCGGAATGACTGCAGCCCGGAATTTGCTTAACATAATAGGTCTCTAAAAAGGAAATGGCCAATCGGAGAACACAGGCTTTGGATATTCCGGATCAACCCGAAATAGAATCTAAACAAAAAAATACTCAAAAACTAGTGTTTAAATTGACCTTGGACTAATAAAAAATAACGGGGATGAAATTTTACATATAAGAAACTCCAACTTATTGCTAAAGCTCACAACCCTAACGTCCTAATCCTAAACTTCTATTTTTACGCATTTAATTTATTTACAAAATTCGATTTCCTTTTTTGGTTTGTATTACCGGCACAAATAAGTAAAGTTCCTATCAGTTGCCCGCCGATCTCGATTTCTAACTGGGCCTTTAGCCTTTTCTAAATATAGTTAGAAGTGGGTAATTCATGAGTTCTATATGATGCAATATGTGAAGTTTTGATATTCATTCATATTCATGCGTTACTCAATAAGAAAAACCTGAATTAATTTGAGAAAAATTGATATCTGGGGCACATATATATATATTATAGAAAAAAAAGATTATGCATCTTCTAAGCACGTTGTGAGAAAAAATCCATCTATAGAATGTTCAGTAAATTGAGTGCATATAAATAATATAAATATGCGTAATTTTAGATACATAGCCACTATCGCAAAAATAATAAACTTTTCACTTCTATCCAATGTCTATCAATATCTCAACTACTGTATAAATAGTGTTGCATAAATCGCATTAGATTGATCAAAGTGATGTAATAGTAAAGCGCACTCATTGAGAGTGTACTTATAAATGTTCCACATATAAATTTAATTTGAAGACTTGTATAATTTGCGCCAATAAAGTTTTTGTTTCTATGCGTTGAAAAATATAAAAAACGTATAAATATGGCGTTTGATAATTATTCAATATCATTCCTGAACGAATTTTTCACACTAGTTTTACAAATTCTAATGACTACGTGGATATTAATTTTTATTTTTACTTTTACAAGATTTACTATATGTCAGAATGGAATAGGTTACAAAACGCCACCTATGGGATGGAATCCTTATAATGCTGTAAGTATAATCCGACTTTATAGTAATTATTATTGTTGATAAGCTTAACTAACTTTGTTAATATTTAAAGTTTCATTCCAATTTTAATGACGTTTTAATTAAGCAACATGCGGATATTATAGCTAGTGAAGGCTATTTGGAAGTCGGTTATAGATATATAAATCTTGGTAAAATTAATTAATTCAGTAATCATATATTAAGTATGTCATCTAAACCATCATCTATATTTTTTTTTTATTTATAGATGATGGATGGCAAGCACCTATAAGAATAGATAAGAAACTATATCATAATCTATTTAAGTTCGTTCTATGCACGAATATTTTTGTTAAAAATAAATTTGGCGAAAATATTAAACTTATAATTTAACTTTTCTAAGATTTCCTCTTGGAATGAAAGGTAATCTACGTATTGAGCGTTACTTTCCTTAATATGTGTATGGAAACTATTGTGATGACGAGAAATTCATCATTAATCAAAATCGACACATATATAAGTTATATGCTCTAATATTAAAATTAGCTACATTAATATGATATAATCTAAATCTTTTAATTTTTTTTAAAAAAATCCTTTATAACTAAATGATTAACTTATCTATATAATTTGTTTTTTTAAGATCTTGCAGATTATATACATAAAAAAGGCTTACTTTTTGGAATTTATTCAGATGCTGGAACTCAAACTTGTGGTGGTCAACCTGGATCACTTGGTGTCTATTTATTTTATTTTTGAAACTCAGCTAGAATGTCCTGAAACATATAATCATATAAGTAATTTGTAGATAACGAAGATATAGATGCACAAACATTCGTAGAATGGGATGTTGACTATTTAAAGTATGATAATTGTAACGATCAAGGAAGACCTGAACAACAACGTTATCAAGTAAGTTATAGAGTACTCAAGCTTTTATTACAATATTAATATTTATTATAATTGTTATCTAGGCAATGGCAAATGCACTTAAGTCGGCAACTACAGGCAAAAATAAGACTATTTTCTATAACATGTGTGAATGGGGGTAAGATGAATTAGTAAAAACATTTTAGTAAAACTATAGAATTCTAAAGTTTTATGTTTTGATTTTTATACTAGAACAAGTAATCCTTGGTTATGGGGACCTGGTACCGGCAATAGGTAATTATTTATATCTAATGATTTCAAAGCTTGTTACCATATTATAATAAATTTATATATTATGATATAATAAATATATAATTAATAAATAATTTATTTGTTATTTAAATAAATGAATTTTAGTTGGAGAATTTCTGTTGACATTATTGCGTTCTGGCCATCGATAATATCAATACTAGATTCGCAAGTAAGACTTACGGAATATGGAGGGCCAGGTGGTTGGAATGATCCCGATATGCTTGTAGTGGGTTTTGATGGAATACCTTTTGATGAACAAATAACACATTATGCATTTTGGTCCGCTCTGAAAGCCCCTTTAATACTTGGATGTGATGTAAGTTTTGTTTATCAATTTTTAATTTGATTATTTGATAAAAATGCTAAAAATAATTCTAAATTGCGTTATAGCTTACTAAGGTTAATAATATGTCAAAAGCATTAATATTAAATAAAGATATAATTTCTGTAAATGTAAGTTTATTCCTTTTTATTTTTTGTTTTTTTTTATTGATCTTAAAAAAATTCATAATATGCACCATTTTGTTTTATTTGATTCTGAAAATAGCAAGATCCTCTTGGATTGTCTATATGCCAAGTTTATTATAAAACTGATAATAAAATTTCCTTTGATATTTGGACTGGACCACTTATTGATGGATATGTTGCAAGTTTGTATTGAAAACCTTTATGCTTTACCAAACTAAATATTAAAACTTATTTATTTTTTTTAGTTTTGTTTAATCGTGGAATAGATCCAATAAATATCACATTAGATTTTAAAAATCATTGCCACCTTACAGGTACTATTGAGGTTTATGATCTTGTAAAACAACAATCTAGCGGATACTATACAAATAGGTATGTTCTCATACTGGTAAATTCGATTCGACGATTGCATTAATTGAATAAAAATAATTTATACTTTTAAATAAATATTTACTAGTTATACTGCAATAGATATTCCAAAACATGGCGTAGAATTTGTAAAACTTATTGGTGGAAATATTACTGACACTAAACGTCCATGCCTTAATAATTCGTAAAGAGCATAAAACAATTATGCCTTCTTATACTCTCAATTCAAATAATCAGCTTGATATACATACGTACTAGTAGATATCTTCATAATTACGTAGCAAGCTATCTTAGATTAGCTATTTTGTTTACTATTAGACGTTTTGCTACGTATTTTATTGTGTTAATATTTTAAATAGGATTTTTTCCAACTAAATTTATATATTTAGGCATTAAATGTTTGCTTTTATTTTTATATTCGTTAACAAGGCACTTGAAATATTTTAAGGGTGTTTTTGCTGTAATAAAATTATATAATATACCGAATATTATTCTCGCTCGGATTTCATATTAAACACTTCTTTATTAGACATTATGAAGATATGATGAGAGTAATGCTCCACTTCACTTTCTTTTCTGCTATTGCATACTGTGCTCAGTAATAACTCTATTTTCACATGGATATATGCAGAATAGAAAGTACGTATGAGCCCACGTTGTGCGGCACATTTAATTCGTTACACATGACATCAATTTCTATATGAAAGCCACGCTATAGTGCAGCGCATTCAACTCGGTATACATGACAACAACTGTTAAAGGTCATTACGAATCTTGTTAAAAGTTGCAGGTTTGGGGAATGTTGTAAAAAATAGCAATGGAAATGAAAATACGTACGTACTGTACGTATGTTTACTAAACATAAATATAGAATCATCAGAGGCTAGCGCTAGAGTATTACGTTGAGGAAAAGCGGCAGTGCTAATGTAGATCATCCAGTAATAATCTCGTAATAAAATGATGAAGCGAGATCAAATAACTTTATTGAGTTTTCGTATTGTAGAGTTCCTATCCATTATCATTTATCTATTGGATATCCAGATCTGAATTTATTCGGATATCCGTTTTACTATTGATATCCGGATAATTATCCGAATATTTGTCGGATTATCCGGATACCAATAGTAAATGGATATCCGGATAAATTCAGATATGGATAAATGGATGACGGATTTATCCGGATTGGACCTCTATCGTATTGTCTATTTTTAGTTAGTCTGATCAACTTCTTAAGGTTGTTGGATACAGGTTTTAAGCGTTAGCGTTAGTACGTATTACGTATTGAATTTACTATAGATAGTATTAAATAGGCAATAATGATTGTCGGGCCAAGAGATACGTAAGTAGAAGGGTTGGCGTATGTGAATAATAATAATAATAAGAGCAGCGTGAGTAGGAAATTGATATGTAAGGTATATTTACCTATTTCCGGGGACTTTTTTTTTGCCACAAATAAAATTTAAATTTTATTTATTTATAAAATTTTAAATATAAAATCTACAATCTATTGATAATTTAAATATGATTTATTTATATATTTTATATATAAAAATTAAATTTGTATGTATCATGTATAAAAAAAAAAAGCAATTGACTATTTCCGTGGATATATAATAGGCATCATTTTTTGTTAAGTAAATTGAATAAAATTTATTAAATAAATAAATGTTCATGATGCTAAATTTTAAATAATAATTTTTATAGAAATTGGGTGAGATTTTATTAATAGACTTGGCCACTTAATTGTAAGGCATGCATAGAAAATAAATTTTATTTATATATCTTGGGATCCTGTGACCAATGATTCTGATGCCATTAGATTCGTTTCAGTGAGACGTTCGTACCAAGATCGTCCAAATTGGATTACAGGATCGCGAGGTATCACGAGATATTACAATCCACTCGAAAATAGTATGTGTACTTAGTGATTTGAATCGGTTGGCCTATAATAATAATCGGTTAATCGACCCGAACCGAATAAAGTTCGGTTGACCGGTTGAGGAAATTCTTGATCGGTTGACCCGATACATCCGGTTGAGAATTAGGTAATCGGTTGGCAGGATCGATATAGTATGAAAATGATATAAG